AACCCTAATATAACCCCAATATAACCCTAATATGACCCCAATATAACCCTAATAAGACCCTAATATAACCCTAATATAACCCTAATACAACCCCAATATAACCCCAATATAGCCCTAATATGACCCCAATATAACCCTAACAGAACCCCAATATAACGCTAATATAACCCTATATAACCCCAATATAACCCTAATAAAACCCTAATATGACCCCAATATAACCCTAACATAACCCTAATATAACCCCAATATAACCCTAATACAACACTAATATAACCCTGATATAGCCCTAACATAACCCTACTATAACCCTGATATAACCCCAATATGACCCCTAATATAACCCCAATATAACCCCAATATAACCCCTAATATAACCCTAATAGAACCCTAATAGAACCCCAATATAACCCCAATATAACCCTAATATAACCCGAAAATAGCTCCAAGGCACTGCCCACTCAAGCCCGAAAATCCCCCCGGCCAGAACTCCACGTCAGAAGCCATGGTGCCAAGAGCGCATGAGGAGGCGCCCGCATCCATGTTGGGATCCGACCGAAGCTCCAGCAGCCTCATAGACCCCCTATGTGAGGGAATTTATCAGTGGGTATAATAATAGAAGGGCACGATATGGACAGCATATGCCTAAACACTTAGGCGCCTAGTGCCTGAGGAACTTCTACCTTTCAGAACAGGGACTCCAGGTGCGTTTCGATGAGTCGAAGAACCCTTTTATCATGGGGTAGGGAAGTTAGCTTCCAACACCACTTCAAGTTCAAGATGTGAAAGGCAAGGGACAACCCCGGCTTGCAAACTCTTCCTGTCAGCAAACGCAAGCGCTTAACCCCAAACCTGGACATTCCAAACCTTAAGTACCAAACCCTACTGCAATCCCAAACTCTAAGTTCCAAACCCTAGACCATCCCTACAGGCTCCATCTAGCCCCGCGGCAGCTCCAGGATAGTCGTGTGATGCCGACTTCGAACCACCCTGGCTTCTATGTTTTATTCTTGGCGGAGCTTGGGGAGTAGAGTTTACCGTCAGGAGTTTGTGGGGCAATTAGGGACCGTGCCTTGGTGTTTATAGTTGAGAGTTTCAGCTTGAGGGATTTGGGCACCATGCTGAACACTCTAACGTGATGCCTCCTCAGCTTTGCTCCATCCATTGGTAGGCGTTCTTTCAGGATTTTTTTTAAGCTGTTACATTCAAAAGTCTAGATGCAGTCGCGGCTAGGCTTTTGGGAATCTGTGTGGGGAACGAATGGCTTGCCCCTGTCTCAGAACCTCAACATCTCCCTACAACTGAGCACTCTTGGGTATTCTTCTAGAACGATGGGGAGTAAGCGGTTGATCGTGAGGGGTGTTGCTGTAGCACAGAGGGAGAGGAAGTAAAGCTTGCTTTGTGTTTGAGCATATAGCAGTATAGCATTGATTTAGGGAGTGGAGGATAGGGACATGCTTGGTCAGAAAGAGCACATAATTACACTACAATCCTTGAGCCTGGTTTCGGGCTAGTTGAGCCTTCAGGCGTGAAGACTAAGTGCAAGTTCATACAAATAGAACTTTGAGTAGCCCGGCTTTCCAGGTATGACATGAAAGCCCTCGATGTATCCTGACCCATGAGCCCTTGAATGCAGACTTCATGAACTTGACACTCCCGAGCCCAAGTTCCGCCCAGATTTCAGGAAGCTCTACCCAAGGCAACATCCATGACGCTGAGCTGAATTCCCAACACTCGGTACCTCACAAACCAAATCTCTAACCGCAAGCACAGATACTAGACCCCTGAAATCCCAAATCTAAGACCGTGAATCCAAATCCTACCGAATCTCAGACTTGCCTGGGCTTGTAGCCATTCTCATCTCAAGCCTTTGTTTACACCCGAGCCCCCGCACCCAGAAATCACGAAACCCCAAGACCTCAAGACCCTCAACCGAAAGCTCTGAAACCGCAAGCCCTCACAACTGAAACTCGAACCTCCGCACGGAAAGCATCCTCTAGACGCCCAAGCACTAAATCCTAAACTCCATTCAACACCTATCCCACACTCAACCCCCAACACTGAACCCTAGGCGCATCCCCAAACCCCAAAAGAAAGCAACCCCAAAATCTCCAAGCCTAGTGACTGGACACTGAAACCCAAACTCCCGAGCCAGGGCCACGCCAGGTGGAGAGGAGCAAAGTCGGGACCGATGCCGACTTCAAACATCTCCCGAGCCCTGGAAATCAAAACAGGGTTTGGGGTTCCACAGCTTTGGGGTTTAGGGCTTTAGAGGGTTATCGCTCCTGATGCCTAGGTGAAGCCTTGAAGTAGGTGTATGATTTCGGGCAGCATCATACCTGACAATGCAAGAAGCGAGGCTCAACATGCAAAGGCAAAAATCCTGGTTTCAAATTCTGGTCCTATGTCTGCAACGTGTTCCTGGGCCTCTGCTTACAGAAAGGAAGGGCAAACCGTGAAACTAATTTGGCCTCCTCATAGCCTGAACCTGGGATGCAGGGCTTGCCGGGGCTCATCAAAGGCTCCTTCTTGAAGAACACCCTGAGGAGGACCCCATATATGCTCTTGCATGGCGTCTTCATCCTCCAATCTCTTGTATGAGGTCCCATTAACATTGAAGACGTCCCAAAATCAACTTGTTTCGTTTGCCAAAACTGTTGGGGCATTCCGCACTTGGCGGAGAGGCCTTGGAATCCTGCCCTCCAAACTTCAAGCCCTTAACATGTTCCATCAAGGCCTGACCTTGCGGCTCCAACAGCCTTGAACGAATCCTTGGGCAAATAAGTTAGAAAAACATAGGAAAGCCAAGTGTCGCTCCCTAAGCCCTAAAACTCGCCCTGGCCGCCTTGTAGTCAACGAGGCTTGCGCTTCGACCAGCCTTCGTATCATCCTTGGCGGGATCATGAAGAAAGCAGGCAGAACCCTAAACCCAACATTGCATTTGCTTTAGTTGAAGGTGTTGAGGGTTAGAAAAAGTGAGAACTTGCTGAATCCCAGACATGCCATGTAATTCCGCTTTGAATTGTACGCATGGAGCCACATCTTAAAATAGAGTGGTATGGGATCTAGCAAAACTCCGGGGCTTCCAGGCAAGGATCAGGCAATTAAGATGCCTCACAGATTCGAATTGTTTATATCTGAGTACCTGTCTACTTCAACGCTAGTGGATTGCAGTTGCACAAGGGCCATGATGCAAATTTTGGTATATCCCTACAAAACATCCTTTGACCAAGGCGTTTCAAACGGTGGCAAGGTGCGGTATGTCACCGCTGAGCACCGCGCAGCCCAAGCCTCCCATCCCACGACGGACCTAACGACCACGTCTCAGGGCGGTTTGGGACTCAGGGCCTGAAGTTCAGGATTCAGGGCTCAGACATTCAGGTGGTTTGGAAGTTAGGTTTGGATATGGGTTTAGAGATTAGGATTCAGGGCTCAGGATTTCAGATTGAAGGCTCATGGATTTTCACATGACGTTGCGGCTCGAGGCCTTACGGTTTGGGGTCTTTAGGGTTTAGGGTCCGGCTTGGCTGTGTTCGAAGGATTGCACTGTCATCCAACCTGTGAGCAGAAGGAACACCAGTCTGGGGGGACATCCTGGTTTAGGGCTACAGGGCTTGTGGTTACACACATGGCGCCACCCTCACCCTTGAACGCTCAACTGTCAACGCCCTCTCCGGGTTCCGATCGAGAAATTGCAGGGGCCTTGTAGGGATCACAGCTTTTGCTGCTTGCCAGGTGTTGTGGACACTACCCGTAACCATTTAGCCTAAACCCCAGAGACTCCAAACCAGCAAACCGGGATCCTATGGATAGCGTATGACTTGCTGTACATCCGCTTCCCCCAGAGCGACCCAAATTCTATATAAGCATGAATCCACCTTTACCACCTTAAGTCTCAACATCCTCTGGTGAAGGCACTTTGAAATCTCTCAGCCACAATGGCTGAACTCGACACCCTTAATCTGAACCGCTGGATTTTGCCAAACAATCGAGCAACCTATTCCATGAGAGCTCACTCCTGCAAAACCAGTGGTTACAATACCCAAAACTACAGCAACCGCTCTCCTAAACCGTAAACCTGAAACCTGAACCTTGAATCCCAAGAATTAACGCCCAGACCATGAACCTTCTACTGGCTTTCAAGGCATCAATCCTTCAAGATACCATGTATGCTTGGGGGTTTGTCTGCAGTCTGGCCTTGAAGGTTCAAGGGCCAGTGATTAGGAATTCTGGTTTAGGGCTTAGGGTTTAAGATTTAGGGATTTGGATTGGGATGTTGAACTTATTACTTGAATACCTGCTCTAAATCCGAAGCCCTCAAAGTGTAGGCGCAATTCTGGATTGCCTTTCTTGGACCTTCCTTGATGCAATGCAAGATTTCGGTGCATAGCATGACTCTAGGTAACCCTGAATATTGTTTTTCGTTTGTTCTTGCCCTTCAATCCCCAGAAAAGACTACCACGGCAAAAGAAGAACCCTAAACCCTGAGCCCTCTGCCCTAAGATCTAAGCCTAAATCCTAAATCCGAAGCCCTAAATCCTAACTCCTAAAACCTAAATCTTGAACCCTAAA